ATTTACCTTTTTTTGAAAGTTACATCATATTCATATTATACTTATTTACCATTTATATATCTACTTTGGAGAAAGTATTCAGATTTTAAAATTGGGATATTTGTCTATTTATTGTTGAGTTGTTAGTGTTCTTTGTATATTCTGGATACTAGGCCCTTCTCAGAAATATAATTTGCAAATATTTTCTCCCAATATTTGGGTTATTTTTTCACTTTGATAGTTGTCCTTTGAAGAACAAAAGATTTTAGTTTCGATAAAGTCCAACTTATCTATTTTTCCTTTGGTTGCTTTTGTTTTATGCATTATACCTACTAAACTGTTGCTTAATCCAAAGCCATGAAGATTCATACTTATGTTTTTGCTAGGGTTTTAAAGCATTTCGGTCATTGAGCCACCTTGAGCTGATTTTTATACGGTGTGACAGAGGGGTACACTTTCACTCTTTTGCATGGGAGTATCCTGTTTTCCCAGCACCATTTGTTGAAAAGACTGTTTCACCCTGATTGAACTATCTAGGCACCCTTGTCAAAAATCTGTTGTTATACAATAATCCATAAAAACACTGAATCACTATGTTATACACTTGAAACTAGTATAACTTTGTAAGTCAACTATACATCAATCTTTAAAAGTAGTTTTTTAAAAAAAGGATATGATGGGTAGAAGAATTTATAAGTTTCAAGCCAAAGTGGAGTATGGCAGTGTTTCCAAGCATACAAATTTATGATTTCATAAGAATTCCTAATTTCATAAAAGGAGTCATTGGACCAATATAGCAGCAAATTGTTTTAATTCTAGCATTCAAAATAACTTTCACTCCTTTTTGGAGCAACCTGAAGCAAAAACACTGTCAAAGATACATTTAGTAAATTTCATTTCTTCAGAGTCATTGGAAAAAGTTTTTTAATCTGGTATGAATCTCCTTGCAACAGAGGTTTAATCTTTCTGTAATAAAATTTATCCTTAAATGACAAAAAAGTTCATCGTAATATATGAGTTTATTTCTGGCCTTGCAGCTCTGTTTCATTGATCTACATGTCTATCTTGATGGCAGTACCACAATGACTTTTTTTTAAATTAAAGTATAGTCGATTTACAATTAGTTTCAGGTGTACAACATAGTGATTCACAATTTTTTTACACTATACTTCATTTGAAGCTATTATAAA